CGCCCCTGCTCATGGCTCCCTCCCGGCGCGCTGCTGGTGGCCCCCGCGCCTGTGCAGGCTGGCCACTGAGACGGCCACGATGGCGGTGACGGTGTATGCCGCCAACGGCACCGAGGCGGACGAAGTGGCGGTGGGTGCCCTGCGCTGGCTCTCCTCGCCCGCCTGCCTGGGGCCAGGCCGCGTGGGGTCCCCCCTGCCCACCCGCCAGGCCTCGGCGCTTCTCCCGCTGCCGCCTGCCTGCCTGCCCACCCCGCCCCCTCCCCTTGCCCGCCCGCCCCCTGCCCGCCCCGCAGCGCAAGCTGAACGACGAGGAGGCGATGAGCAACGCCATCCAGCAGTACCTGGCCACCCGCACCGACGCGGCCGCCGGCTTTGACGCCGTCAGCACGCTGCCAGAGGCGTCGGCGCCCACCAGCGTGTCGGTGGCGCTCACCGCCGCCGACGTGGCCAAAAACACGTGAGCCCGGGCTCACGGGGGGCCGGCCCTGGGGCCCTGGGCATGCATGGGCTGGCTTCAGGGGGCCACCCTGGCGCCTGCGCGTGGCTGCCGCCTGGGGTGGAGCGCCGGCGCCCTGAGCACCGCGCCTGCCTGCCCGCCTGCCTGCCCGCCCGCCTGCCCGCGCGCTGCCAACCTCCCTCCCTCCCCGGCGCGTGGTGCAGGGACCAGAGCGTGATAGGCGTGGCCACCCCCACCAACATGCAGTCCCTGCTCACCTCCGCCGGCATGCCCTCCGGCACCCTCGTCTCCATCACGTCCACGGTGGGTGCGCTGTCTGGCTGGTGGTGGTGGTTGGTAGCTGTGCGGGGTGTGGGGCGCTGCTGCGGGCTGCTGGGTGTGGGGCTGGATGTGCGGGCTGCGCTTGCATGCGGGCGTGGGCCGGTGGCCTGGCTGTGTCGTGTGCCGGCAGTGCACACGGCGGCTGCTGCCTGGCCCGCCTCCCAGCTGCCTCCCGCTTGACGCGGTGTGTTTGTGCTGCAGCCCACGCCCAACGGCCCCTCGCCCTCCCCCAGCCCAGCCAGCAGCCCGTCGCCCTGCCCAAGGCCCAGCCCCAGCCCCAGCCCCTCGCCGCCCAGCGACAGCAGCGGCAGCGGCATTGCCGTCTGGGTGTGGGCGGTGGTGGGCGTCTGCGCCGGCCTGGCCATTGTGGCACGTGAGAGCGGGGGCGCACGCGCTCATTCCTGCGGCCGCGCAGCGCCGGGCTCGGCGTGCTGCTGCTGCGGCGGCCCGCCTGCCATACCTGCTGCCACCACTCGTGGGGCCAGCCCCTCGCTCCACCGCTCCTTCCCGCACTGCGCTGACCTGCCGCCCCCGCCAGCCCCCTGAGACCCCCCGCCTGCCCCAGGCG